GCCTGTTGGAGATGATGAGCGGCACGCATCCGTGCATCATCACCTGAGATCGGAATGCGATGCAAATGCGACGATCGAAATCGGAAGGCACCGATACCCCTCCCCAAACAACGTCTGCTCAGATTCTGCTCCATGTTTGCTCTACAACAAAATGTCATATAATGTTGGAGGCGACCCCAGAAATTATCCCCCTTCAAACCTTGCTGTAGCTGGACAAAGCCTCGCATTTGACCAGTTGGCAAGGAAGATCAATTCTTGAAAGGCAGGTGATGTGTTAGTCGGCGGGAGGTAAACACCAGAACCTCCAAAGCCAGAGGTAGCCTTGAACGATACTGATTTGGAATCCTTGGACACCTGAGCAACTGCGAAGAAACAGCAGACCAAACAATTTGGGCGAAATAATTATTCACAACAAAAAGGAACCTTCATGGGGCCCAGATTGCAAAGCAAAACCAAGGTCGCTGCATTTTGCCCATGGCTCACCATCTCCAGTACAAAAAGCCACTACTCCCAGGGCAGATGCAAGATTTCGACTGGTTGAACCTCCACCTGTGTTGAGGGATAGTTGGATGTTAAGTTCGCGTCGCAAGCAGGTCATATCCCAGGTTGCCACTTAGAAAGTCCAATGTGTCCGGGGCCTACACCCAGTGCTCCGAAGTATACAGCTTCCACCGGGAAGCAACCGGAAACTTGACATTCCCCCGGCGTAATCCCAGGGTGTAAGACAAATCCGCTTGGATGTGATTTGTAAAGGAGAGTGAGGTACCTCTAGCTGATTCAAAACCTTCCAAGTATATCCCAAAAGTCATACGCAACATGACCTCCACGGGCATGGTACGAACAATCATTGACTTCAAACGACTCAACTTCGAGGCAAGGTGGTGATTACAGCGTTATAAGTGGCTCAGTGTCACTGGCACCCGAAGACTTGAAACGCACAGTTGCCCGTTCTGGTTTGGGCATGTGAGATCTTCGAGGCTAGCATCTTACCGTGGCCTAAAAGAACACCAAAAGGAACACAAACAAATGCGGAGGTCTCGAACACAGAACCACATGCCCATTTGGGACCAAACGCGGGAATCCAACAACTCACTTCCTCAGCGGATCGCCAACAACAAGTCTGCGCTATTGATTCACAACTGAAACAACCTGCCCGGCATGTTTCAAGTCCAGAAAAGGCGCGACACGAAAATGGGCAACTAGTTCGCACAATACCGGGAAAAAGCAAGGGTCCAAGTTGGGCAAACCAGCATTGATTCCCTTGACTACTTCATCAATTTTTCAGGAAATTTCCGGAGGGCCAATGACACAAAGCGGCGACCGAATGTTCCGCAACCATGGCCAATTTGCCGCACCCAAATTGTGACCATGTTCCTTTGAAACTAACTGGGCAGAAACAAAAATCCGTGAAGCAACGAGGTGAGCGGAGCAGGGGCTGAGCGGATCGATTGGCCGTGGTTCAACTTGCGGGTTGCAGGGTTCCATTTGGCTCCTAGAAAGACGTAAACCCAGGTGCATTTGATTGAAATAAACAACCTCCGGGAACCGTGTGGCTCTGATGCTTGGCCCCTGTAAAGTGAAATAAAAAGCCCTGGGACAAACCTTCCCACAAGGGGGAAGCCCAACAACAGTTTACCCACGTTGTGGGGAAAGAATCAAACTTGTCAGTTGCTGGCTTTATGGTTTCCTGTGAATACCACAAGAAAATGGGACCCTCAAACCAAACACATTACTCTGCGCATAACGGGCAACGCCCCTGCCTCAATCAGGCGCCCAGTGTTGGGGGAGTCGCCATCAGGGCAAAGGCACAACCTGACATGGCAAAGGATCCTGGAGGTGACCAAATCCAACAAACACATCAAATTCACCCCCTTTTTCTCCGAGAGGGGTGGTGGTGTTGTGTTTGGGGAGTCCTACGATAAATGGTTGACGCCAGCTACCTCAGATCCTGCAAAGTGGTCAACGAACCATAACTCATCTGCCCATGAAGTTACAATCGGCGCCCGAAACGAATAGACTTTCGGTTATACCAGATTCGGCCTTTCTACCCCCATTCAGCCAGGCCAGTGCCGTTTTGGGAGGTTTTGGGCACTGCTGTCGGTAGCGCCTGTAGCTGCTCACTGGCACAAAATATGCAATTAGCCTTCTGGAGTATTGGAAGCATCTGTTCCTCGCATTCACCTTCTGGATTGGTCACGTTGGACACCCATGATTTATGACCCCCTTGTTGGCTAGGGAAGGAAAGGGGCACTTCACGTTTGGGGGATACAAACGAGCCAAGAGACATCAACTGCCACCTACACGCTCTTGGCCATCGAGGCATCGACAACGGCGGGAAACAAAACAAGCAGATCCTGCCCTCGTGTCTGACAGTGACCGTTTGGTGAGTGGAAGGTTGTGAGCTGTGTTTTGTCCCATGTTTAAGAATGATCTTGATAGTGCATTTGCGAGGGGTGGTGCTTTCTTCCAGCCAACACTCTCACATTGTTCTCCAAGCATCTGGCAAATGCCAACGCTGCCCAGTTTGGCCGTCCGAATCCTATTTTGCAACATACACGGGATCTTCCTATCCAAAAGTGGAGCAATCATTGCCAGTTCTCCAAGCCAAGGTACAGGTTGGCCGAAATGAAACCTGGAAGAACCCACACCTCCAGCCGCCACGGGTCGATAGCATCTCCCAATGCAGGGCCGAGCGGCTTGGAGCGGTAGGCCAGCTCAGACCATTCCTGGCAACGCATTCCGGAGTGCGCATCAGCATCCGGTGACATCCGGGAGGAAAATAGGGCCCTGAGCAAAGAAAGAAACAAACACGTATGTCCAAAACTAGGGACCCCGAATGTTTGAGGGTTTCTTCGTGTTTACCCTGCAAACGCGTGGGTTAGCGGTTTTGGACAAAGCGAGGTCTGGCAAATCTGTGGCTCCCCCTTCCCAAAAGAGCTGGTTACCTCTTGAAACTTGTCCCAAACAGGTGAAAGGGCCTCCCTGATTAGATGGGGTACAACACTACCTTCTCTACCATCAGTCTCGGCCGCTTAACCAACCAATTCAATTTTGTGCATCTTCACATAACATGGTTCCACACGAGATGCCATAGGTGTGGACAAGATTCCTGTGCCGTCGCAGATCACTCAGCCATCAAAACTTAAAATTGGCAGGGCACCAACGGCACCCCTCAGGAAACGTAGCCACCAAGGAAACGCACTTTAGATTGCAATACCGCAAGGCTAATCTCTGCCACAAGCGAAACCCCTTCAGCTCTTGCCCCACGTTTAATGAACCTAACTTGAGATACGGTCAATTTGTCTCTTAAGGCGTGTGGAGGAGTGGTGTGTTTCAGATGGGTCCCCAGCTTGGGGAGCTCCCAGCAAACGGCCAAAAAACACGCAAACAAAACTGTGTGTGTGTGTGTGGGTGGGTGGGTGGGTGGGTGGGTGCGTGCGTGCGCGTGTGTGTGTGTGTGTGGGTGTGTGTGTGTGTGTGTTTTGGAGGGTACCATTTCGTCTGGTGCTGCTTTCAGGGAAATCAACAGAACAACCGTTTCGAGGAGTCCCCTATGGCAGAAACCCAACTCGTTCTGGAGTCCCCGGTTTCGAAACAACATCCTCAACACCAACTACACTTTTGGCTGCGCTCGTTCAGCGCCTTCTGCTTCAGCCGGAACTCGGGGGGAAAAATGAGAACCCGATCCTGGCGCGTCACAGGAGCTGGGAATTGGTTCAAGCAGACTGTGGAAGGGCTCAATCAGTACACAATGATTGCCCGGCGCCCGGTGATCAACTTATCCCACATTAATCGCTGCATCAGGTTCAAACATTGCATACATTGTGGATGCATTGTGGATACAGTGATTGCATATCATGTCGGATGAGGACGTAGTTTGGTTAAATCCTACTCCTTGTAACAACTTTCTGCTTTCCAGGGCGACAATTAAATTTTATGCATTGTGAATGTGCCTATGTTCAGACAATGGTACGTGATGGAGCTCGGTAGATGGCGATCTCACCTGCGACCCAAACATCGGTACGCCAAACTAGGCCGTTTAAATGGGAATATTGGCCAACCCATACTATAAAAGTGAACTCACCAATCGGTCGGCAAGGGCAGCATCGCCAACGTCGACCCCGTTTTTAGCAGCCTCATAAAATCCAAGCGGCTCCCTACTGTGAGCTTTGCCGTTGGCTCGTTCATGAACCTGGCGTTCTTTTGTTGGGCGTGGAGATTCAAAGTGCTGATTTGGATTCTCACACAACACTCTGGAGCATCAATGGGGTTCTACCAGAGACTGAAGTCCATCGACGCGGCCAGCGCAAAGAACGAGCTCCTGGATGAAAATCTATCTATTTGGGTGTGTCTTTTCGTGAAGATTACCCTTTAGTGTGTTTTTGCAGGAAACCAAAAGGAAATCCATCATTTTGACACCCATGGCACGATGCTTGATCCTTTCTACAGGCCACCCAACCGCAAGCCTTCCGAGCATTCGACTCCTGGCGCGACGGAGGAACTCCACGCCGTTCGGCAGTTGGAATGGATGAAGCCCTATGACTGTTTTATCATGCAGTGATGTGTCCTGGTGGCTTTTTTATCATTACCCAGAGGCTCCTGGGGCTTCCAATGGAAGACCCGACCCCTCCATTAAAGACCTCGGAGGTGGTTGGGGGTCTCAAAACCAGGTTGCTTGAAGGCCCTAAATCAATCGGGAGCCTCTGGGTATCCCGATCTCATGACGTCCTTTGCTTCTAGGTTCGGATGTCGCTTTTGAGGCCCAGGATCCTTTTCACCTTGGCAAACCGAAAGGAGAATCCCCCCATTTTCGGGGGGGGGGGGGGTTCCCTTACCCATATTGAGCCACTGTCAGAACTTTGGGGCGTTGACCGAACCTCACATGTCTCATGGAAAGCGGGAGGCCTCCCAAGTTGGCTTCTTTTTCACACACACACACACACATCAAGTCGTCGCTTTCCCGTTGACTGGTTTCCCGTTGATGTCCCCAGTTGAACGTAGGACTGGGCGCCCAGAAAGGGGTGTTACACTAGAAACCAGCTTCTGAAAAGGGAAACGAGTGGAGTTGATTCCCAGGGCCGAAAACACGAAAGGTCCAAAACAACTGGGCGAAGCTTGGTTTGGTGGCTTAGAGGTCAGGTGGTGGCTTCTCAGGTGGCCCCGACAAGTCCAAGAGCTGCAAATTCAACAATCCAAAGCCACCAATCAAAGGCCACCAATGAAAGGCCACCAAAGTGGGGCAATCCCTCAGCATGAGCATGGTGCCCAGCTGCTTTCCGAAGAGGATACGCTTCCAAGCCGTTGGAAGGTATCTAGCTTGCTCTTCCCTCCCTGAGAAAAAGGTCTATCACCTTTTAAAGGTTACATGGACAAACCAGTTGTTGCCAAACGGTTTCTCCAGGGCGATTCGGTCAAACCAACCAGCCATGGTACCTGACGATCCCAAGCTGGGCTTGAGGGATCCTGTGCCTTGAACGCATGAAGCTTGGAACGAACACTCCGATGAAGCCGGGTATTGCAATGGCAAGACGCGAGCTAAGAGTGCCACGTCTTGAAGGCAGCTTTCATTTCGGCGGGCTGCATCTGAGTCTTTGGAAGGGAAGCCAACCAGGGAACGGAAAGCAAATCTCGCCGGCAACATGCTTTCGAACCCAGGGGTCAGTAGACTGTCCCACCCAAACATCACACCATGGAGCTGCATTTGGCTGAAATATCCTTACCAACGAAAACACACGCCTGCTGCTTGGCCCGCCCCAGCAACATAGACATCGCATGCTTGTGCTCACCCGGATGCGCTCAAAGCTCTGCAGACACAATGATCTGGCCCAGGTGGTGAAGCACCGTCAATAGGTTTTTGACCCTTAAGTCGCCGTACCCTGGCGGGCGCTCGGGTACCTTGACCCGGTGCGGGCAGACAACTGGTGTCCAGCAACCACTCGGGGTCGCTGCGAGTCAGAACTTGTGGGCCATAAGTCTGGCTGTCGGCCACTCTATAGTCAAGAGCTGCATTTGCCCACAGAAACCTACGCGAGTGTCAAAATACGGGTTTAGACCCACAAAAGGCAGGGGGTCCTTTCGGAAACTCTCTCCCACGCCTCCGGAAGACGAAGGAAAAAGGGGCAACCTTTTGTTTGGTGGTGGACTCAAAAGGGAACGCCCCCTCCACAAGAAAGAAGCCAAAGGCACAAAAAGGCAACCTTGTGTTTGGCAGTTGATTCTAAAGAGGTTCCCCAATTAACAGGGGTCACCGGATTTCCAAGGTTGCGATTTACTCGCGGTTTCCGTGTCACACAGCCACTTTTGCAGGTACAAATAAGTGCAATCGAGGTAAGGGTCCAAACACTCCAAAAAGGGGCCCAAAGGAGCAAACAGGCAATTCTGCCCTTGGTTGAATTTGAACGTGTCTTGCTTGAAGGTACCCCTTTGTGAGGTCTTTGAGGCGATACCAACGCAACCTCTGTTTTTTTTTTTGGGGGGGGTGGTCCCCTAAAAAAAGACACGCCCCAAAAAACAGAAAGAACCAACGGAACCTCCCTGCCACCTGCAAGTTTCGTCGTGTCCTTGGCCATCTCGTGCTCAAAGGTGCCAGCGAAGACCTTGCCGGGGCCCCAGAGCCCGGAGACGTCCTAGCCACCCAGGTAGCTGGTCTCCAAAGATTAGAACAGCTCAGCAGAAGAAACTTCACAGTCTCGGTCGCCAGCCGCAAATCTTCGAACCCCCTGTCACCTCAATTGGAAGCTTTCCCCTCACTTCCATGCTTAGTGGGGTGGGGGGGGGGGGTGATGTTGCTCACCAGGGGCTATCCAGCAAAAACCCAGTGGGCACGCTAGGAGCATTGTGGCTATGATGGACCTTCAAACGGGGGCTAGGGGCGCTGAACAAAAACCAAGGGACACCAAGGGAAACTCACAGGAGACCATGGGAAAACCTTGCGAAACCACGGGAAGTGCTCTCCCTTCAGTGTCCCTTTCGACTCACGCCAAACAAGGGACCCCCCAAAAAGAAAGGGCAACAAACGACACACCCATATTTCATGTGGGGTACCTCAAATCCACCAACGCCACCCTCGAACCCCGGAAACGCCGGCACTACGCCGGCCTCCCTGATTCGCTTCCGTGAGCAAGAGTTCTCCGTGCCTGGGCAACGCATCCGCAAAACGGAGGCTCTTACCTCTGAACCATTGAAGCTGACGGCTCTTTAAACAGGCACGCACATGGTGTTCCAAATACCTTCCCTCGGGTGCCATGTGGGCAAATGTTCATTTTTGAGGCGCGCATGTGTGTGTGTGTGTGTGTGTTACACTTTGAGCAGTTTCAGGCAAGTAGCTCGCTTCTCGGGCAGCTCGTTAAACGAGCAATGATCAGCAATGAAAACAAGCCACCACCTAAGGGCTGTGCCTCGATCCACCGTCCAAACAGCAACAAAATTGGATGCCCACGTGCCAAACAAATCGTGACCTCTATCTTGGCTAGGTCTCTCAGCCACTATGCAGGTGCTGATCCAATCCCTGAGAGTCGCTCTTAGCCCATCGTCGCTGCCCTTGCCCATCGAATCTCACACAGCTACCCAGAAAGCTGTGGTGCTCCAAATAGGCATGTAGCGAGGCTGCTCGAGTGAGAAACACCACGGCCTGAGATGTAATCGCCCATCAGGCTGGATTTCCTTGAGCCCTTGGTCATTGATTTAGAGGTTGAAGTGTAGCTGATGGGGCGGGCACCGAAAAAACGGACCATCGACCACGCAAAACAGATTGATTGCCACAAGGTTGTTCAAAATCGAGGGACAGCCACTCCAAGCCCAACATCATAGATCATGATGCATGAAAACATGCTTTAAGGCAACCGAGGAGGGAATGACTTTGAACAGCGCAGCCCTTCACAGCGGAAGAGATATTCAACCCCTTTCGCGCGGCTGTCGCCCAGTTTTTGGCTGCTTTACCCACTGGGCAACTTGGGCGGCTCGGGTGAAAAACCGCAGAGATTTCAAGCGGGCATTCCAAAGGTTTGTCCTTGTTCTGAGCAATGACGGCCCAACAAATGGAGTTCAAAGCTCACATACCTGCCGCCTCTCTTGACACAAGTGTTTCTTCGGGAGTGAGTTTTTCACCCGTTGCTACATGCCGGACCCGGCTGAGCCCTTGGAGTCAGGCCAAGAACATGAAGATTGTGGCCCTTTCGCAAAGCTTTCGCAAAAAAAACTGATCATACCCCTGACGTTCAACGCGCTTGTCGCGCGGCCTAGGAAGAATCAACGTTTTGAAAACGAGATTTCTTCCTTCCCCAAAAACAATTTCAAATGCAGGGGTGTTTAGAACGTCGCTCACATGTCACGCAGAAATTGGCTGGAAGTCACACGGACACAGGGTCCTGAAGCTAAAACCTTTGGACGCGCTAGCAGAGGCTCCATCGACCCTGGGGATCAGTGACCACCATTAACACAATGGCTGGATTAATATAACTTTCTTCTTATAAAAATATACAACAATGGTTGGATTAATTAATTAATATGTTCACAATTCTTTACCTTCGGAACTGTCATTGTCTAAATTGCCGCCGTTCAAATTCTGGAGTTTGAACCCTAGGTTGAGCAAGTTTTAACACCTGGCATCTGCGTGTTTACTGCTGGGTCCTTTCCGAGGGGCGTGAGCATTTGCCACCTTGCTGTGTTTCCCCGGCTGGTAAGTGTTTTTGTTTTTTTTGCATGACATGTTTCCTTTTAGATCTCTTGCGCCATGTCCGCAAACCCCTCAGTGCCAAGCATAAGAATCACAAGTGGTCACACAAATCAAACAGAGCCACATTGGGTTTCGCTTACTTGCTGGCTTCCCCTCAAACACGCCGAAAACACTTTGAACAAGCTTGGGGAGTTGCTTAGAGGGAACTCGCTGATTGATTTGTTCAGTGAGGACTTCAAGCTGCGGCCGCGGACCCAAGTTGGCATCGTGATGTCGGGAGATCTACAGCAGATGGGCGAAACCAGCAACAATCACCACGGCTTAGCCAGGCTAAGCCCCTGTTCAAACATGTGGTTTTGTGTGTCAAAATTGGGAGACCCTCAAGATTGGTGAGTTTCCTTCCTTTTGGTTTCCCTGCATATACACCTAGCCCAAAAAGGCGACCCTCGAAAACACAATGTGGAGAACACATACCCTGCATTTCAGCCACATCCTCTTATTCGAGGGAAACAGGGTCAAGTACTGAGAGTAACCTGGTACTCCCCGAGGCAGGGTCCGCTGTAGAAGACCAGAATGTCCCGCTGGTGGAAGGAGATCGCCTATCGAGCCGGCTCCCGCAAACAAATGCCCGAAATGGGGGTTGTCCCCCCAAAATACTGGGCTGGAATTCGGACCCCAGCAAAAAATGATACTTTTTGCCTGGGAGTGGAAAACCAAAAGAACCCCAAAAAAGCAACTAAATAAAAAGGGGAGCAGTTCTGGGGAAGAATATGTGTCTGTAAATCCACAAGGAGTTCTACAGCGACTTAGGGTACGTACCCCCAACACCTACTTGCATACCCTCGAATCAGAAGCAATTTCAATGAGTTGGACAGGGAACATCTCCCAAGAACATATGAATACCTACCCGCTGTTACATAAATGCGACATCACTAGGACATGCTCTTTACCGGTACCTGTCAGCAAAACTGATGGGAGTGGACCACCGAAAACAAATTCCTGGTACAGCTGTCAGTCGCTCATTTGTGATATATGGGTTCCAAACAAAATCACCCATTGGATGTTTTTGCAATATTCCTTCTCTGGGATGCCCAGAAGGAAACCACATAGTATGCTTGAGGCTGGGAACATTTGTTGTCCAAGAAATGTTCCTCTCGGGTCGGACCTCATTGCATGATCCAATGGTTGAATCACATGACAGGGGGCCTCCTTTGTTGTCCCAGGCAAGAGCTAGCTGGGGAGATGCAGAAAAGGGAGAAGCACATGTGGGTATGGAAAGCTGGAGGTTGGTATATACTGAACTTTGATCCAAGTTTTTACCCATGACTACCAGCGAACAGCCCATCTCTGCTCGATATGTCATGAGCTTCCCTCTGGTTGTTGTGAGGTCGCATTCATCTGCAACTGGTGCAAGCTCTCGATGTCAGACGTTCACTCAAGACCTGAAGGGTTTGTGGACCTTTCACCAGGGCTTTAACCAGGGTTTTCCGGTGCAGCCCAACCTGTGGGTGATAAAAGCCAGGTTTTGTCAATCAGTTGCCTGGAAATTAGTTTCAGGCGAAGCCAACCAGAGGAATGACGTTGGTTCTGCATGGCTTCCGGAGATCTGACCCTCGAACCAACAACTATGATATTTCCGACAATCAAAACTCTAAAAAAGAAAGCTATCTTCCAAAACCAGAGCGAAGGTCAGCTTCCATGAACACGAAAGGTGGAGAGCCTGACTCGTTTGCGACTCCAAAACGCAACTGTTCCAAAACTTGACATGACCTCAGTTGTTCAGTGACCCTGGAAAAAAAGGGAACCCTTTTTTGGGAAGACCATTTTAGTGGAGCCACCAAAAAAAAAGGAAAAAGGGAGCCACTGAACAACTGAGTGACCCTAAGGCCCCCTCCCGAGAAGTCCATTCGAAGGCCACCACCCAGGGGAGCACGATGTCCTCTCCGCGAAATTTGTTCGCACGGCATCCCTTCATCCCCGAAGTTTTGGTGTCTCTTGAGCGTTGTGTCACGGCAAAAAATGTGTGTCACTAAACCAAAACAGTCCACGAGCTTACGGAGTGAGAGTATCGATTCATGTATGTATGCATCGTTGTGTGCTTGCTTGCTTGCTTGCTTGCTTGCTTGCTTGTTTGTTTGCTTGTTTGAATGCTTGCTTGTTTGTTTGTTTATTTGTCTGGTCGACCGTTCGATTCCTTGCATTCATCTGTGTGCACAACCTTTCGGATCCTTTCGGAATACATGACGTGTTGGGTCTCTTTCTCAGGGTGAACGTTCGCGTGAAAACTCTCCCTTTGAATACGTTGTCCCCCATCGGCGTGCTCAAGTAAACCAGCCCACAACATGCGACCCAGCGCTTCCCCTAGAGCAGGCCACCAGTTTTAGCTCCTAGTGGTGTTCACAGATTGCCCGCTATGGCACTAGAAACTGGAAGCACCAGGAGAGATGCATGTTGCATACATTTGATCTACGCGCGTGAAGCCTAGGCATCCTAATCTACGATCTCGTGATCTATTGCACGACCTCGTCCAAGATGTTGGCTTCTGCTCGTAAACGAGCATCATTATGCTTGTGTTGGGCCATGCTGGGAACAAGAGTCAAAAAAAACAAAGAATCAACACAAGCACGTAAACAATGAAACGCCTTCGCAAACAAGCCACAAGGTCCCCTTGCATTACCCAGGAACAAGATTCAATCGGCTGGATCTCTGGCCTGGCGTGCGCTACAAATGGAAACAGCTGCAGGCTGTTCTGTACTGATCTGGATGAGGTGTTTGGTGTTTGGTGCTTGTTTGATGTGTTTCGCCCAGATCCACAGGCAGGCCCTGTCGGATACGAACCTCGATAGAGGAGGCTTCTCAAAGTGGTCTGCTTGTGAGGGCGTGGCAAAAGGGCCATGTCTTGGGCATAGCCTTCAGATCCAACGGGCAACCTGGCAGTTCCAAAACTCGCAGTGCGCATGACGCAAGGTGTTCGAAGTCCTCGAGGGCTCCCGGCTTCGGCTCCCAGCAGAATGGACTCGGCTCCGCACCCCAAGAAGATGTGAGACCAAGCGAAATGCTAACCCGGGACGACAGAATGGGAGATTGTGGCACCCCCCCAAGGATCACAGGGTTTAAGGGAAGCCATTTGCTTCGAAGCGTACGCGCCCTTTGCGCTTGGATTAGTTGTGTTGAAACAATCCCTTGGAAGCGAAGCCCAATGTTCACGAAAGGTTAAGGCTCTTACATAATTGTTTGGTCTCCTTATGGTTTCCCTTTAAATTTCAATCCAAAGGGGCTCCACAACAAAAAACAACTGATGATGACTTGGGGCAACCCCTTTGCTATGGCCCGTGGCTCACATTATACACACTCATCACTCACAAACCAGGTCCAGGTAGGTTCCACCTGCCAGCCCTTTATCATGACTCTTCCCCTGCCCACTCGGGGGCATGTCCCTACATTTGTGCCATAAAGGCAGTAAAAAGACATCCTGGCCTGAAAATAGGGCCCCCCCCCAACCGCTGAAAACAAAACGGACAGTCCTGTGGAAGAACCGGCGCTGGGTCCATCATGCAGTGCAACTCGCAAGACGCGCCTCTGAGATGTCCGGCTTTCGAACCCGGCGTGGGCGGGGCGTTTGGCATTTCGCCAAGCAGGGACGCCAACCAAAACCCGTGGAGTTGGGGGTTGCCAAGACGCTAGGCCGCATAAGGAAGGATGAATAAAGCCGGATACACATGAGGAGGGTTGGAAGGGCGCTGTCAACCTAGTTGGCGAGTATTTGGGGTGTCCCCAAAATCATCCTCCCCAAAACCAACGGTAGACTGCCAATCATTGCCAGGCAAGCACACCAAAAAACGCGCCTTTTCCAGAAGTCAATGCCTTAAGCACCAAACCAGTTGTTTGAAAGGCCCACCAGAATAGGTCAAGGAGGCTGAGGGGTACAATTCTCAGCCCAGATCGGATCAGGGAGTTCTCAGGTTCCACCGAGGAGCCAGCAACCACAAAAAGATCCTGTGGTTGTCAAGGGCTCCCCAATAGCCTTCGATCCGAATAGGGGCTGATACAATAGCGACTAATCGTGCCTGTTAACAGGTTTGCTGTTGGGGGTCTATGGGCCCTAACCATAGGAAAACAGCGCAGCCTTTGATTTTGGGGTAGGCTCAAGAGGACAACCTTTCCATGGATGGCGGCAGTGTTACCGGGGTGGGATGTCCATCTCCTTGGCACCTTTTTATTTGTTCGGGGCTTCCCCTGGCCATGACAAGCAGCCTACGACCCGAAAACCCCCCGAATTACCACGGCCCACACAAATCATGTTTAACTGCCAATGAAAACACAAGTCCCAGCATATTTTTGGTGCCCTCACTTGGCCTGTTTTTGAATCGAGGGCACTTAAGGCAGTGTCGGTGGCCTAAGTGCCCCTTTGATTCGTTTGCTGAGTGCCCTTTTTGGCTTGATAGGGGTTGGGATTCTGTTGAAATCGAAGAGCTACCCGTCTCGAAGTGTGACAACTGCACACATTTGATTGGGGCCAACCCGGAAAGCCCGAACATGCTGTTTTGAGTGTCAAAGCGTGTCATTTGAGTGTCAGTGGGGGGTGCGAATCGAGGTCACTTACCCCTTGAACAGGTCACTTACGCTAGTGTCGGTCCCCCCTGCGTGAGTGTCATTCGCGTGTCTCTGCGGCTCGATTTGCCCAGCGTCGGTCCCGCCCCCGTGTGAGACTCATTCGCATTCACGTGTCGCTGCGGCTCGATTTGCCCGGATTGAGGAGGGATCTGCTGGGGAGGGCAACCCTGAGGGTCTAAGTGCCCTTTAAATGGCTTAAGTGACCTCTTTGATTTAGGACTAAGTGCCCTTATTTTCAAAATGGATCATAGCACCCCAAAAATGAATCGAGGGCTCTGAAAAGAAGCTGGTCTGATATTTTCAGTTCTGAGCCCTGCGCTTGGCTTTGCGATCACAGCTACAGGGGTCAGAACAAATAACACAGCAATTGCACCATTTCAAATACGACGTGCTTTCGCAATTATGGGTCTCTGCGATCAGTGGATCTTTGTAGACCGGGAAACATAAGCGCTCCGGAGCCAACATCAGCTTTGAATCTGACCATGTAACTTCCCCAGCTTTACGGCTACAAGTATCTGATCATGTTATTACTTGCATAGCCTTCGTACGGAATCCCCAAATCAGGAACCGTGGGCCCAGGTCGCAAACCTATACAGGTCGTGAGGTCACTGCATGTTTTCCTCAGAACCATGCCAAACAGAGCTATATTCTGATTGCGACGGACTGCTCTGGCACCAGCACTTCTAGGCCACGCCTTCACCCAGCGTCCCGACAGTTGAAAAAGGGAACCATTTTTGGCTTGGCTGATTCATGCTGATTCTGCAACTCGTGTTTCACGAGTTCTAGCCAGACTTCCAGTGGGCAAGCAAGAAAGGAACTCTGTGTTTATACTCGATTCTGAAGGGAAACCAACAATGGCACTGCGGTCTGGGACCCCTAAAACCACCGGCCGACACCTGAGCGGCCCACCGCAAGAGCTGGCGTGTGCGGCGAAATCGCTTTCGCCTGCCGCTTTGAGGGGCTTGGAGATCCTACCCGAAATCAAGATACCCCACCTGGCAGCAGCACGGCGTAGTGTTTGGGCATGCCTCTGCTCTGAGTTGTGCAATCCCTGTATGAACAAACTATATACATCAACAACAATGGAGTATCTCTCTGCTCGGTGCCCGCTGAAGGGGAGGGTTGGATTCAAAAACCCTTGTAGCCCGGGAATTGCCCACTTCTCGATGCACGGCAGCAAGTAAAACCAGTAAAACATGCCATGATCTCTGTGAATATGGGTAAGCATGGCCTATCTCAGATCATGGGATTCCAATGATTGGTACCCACTGAAAGTGACAACCAAGACCCAAATGCGGGCATGTGTTTTTTTTGCCAGCAGTCACTAGCCAACCAGATTTATCCCCCCCCGGCCCCCACTCGGGGCATCAATTCGCTCGCCTGAAAAGAGCTCCTCCGGCTGGTTCCGCAGCCAGTCCGACATCCTCCGAACACGTCACCCATGGACCTTTGATCAGAGACGCCGCTTGGGCAGACAGTTTTCAAGCGGAACCCCCCCAAGCGGAAGTGCAATTAAGTGCCATCCTCAACGGCAACCCCCTTTGCAACCTTCTGGAAGACCCCACAACAATTCAAGTGTGAACTGGAAATCAGCTAAGCAAGGTCCGGGTGGGTGTAGTCCTGGGGTGTGACTACACCAAGCCTTACAACAAAAACGCTGCAGGGGCTGCTGAATAAACTGCCCGCGCATCACTTTGTTCAGTTGCCACTCG